AGACCACCACAAGAAGATTTTTCGCTCAAAGAGACCAAACCCCACCTTGGTGGAGGGAAGGTCACGGGCGATAAGCTTACTAGCACCTATGACTTGGTTGAGCAAATGCAGTATCTTTATGTTCGGGTGGTGAAAGCAAAGGACTTACCTGGGAAGGATGTAACGGGTAGTCTTGATCCTTATGTTGAGGTTAGGCTCGGGAACTATAGGGGTACGACCCGTCATTTTGAGAAGAAGTCAAATCCCGAATGGAATCAGGTGTTTGCTTTTTCCAAGGATCGGATTCAAGCTTCTGTACTTGAGGTGAGCGTGAAAGATAAGGATCTTGTTAAGGATGATTTTGTTGGTCGCTATATGTTTGATTTGAATGAGATCCCAAAAAGAGTGCCCCCAGATAGTCCTCTTGCTCCGCAGTGGTATAGGTTGGAGGACAGAAATGGTAACAAAGTTAAAGGAGAGCTGATGTTGGCTGTTTGGATGGGTACTCAAGCTGATGAAGCCTTTCCTGAATCTTGGCATTCCGATGCTGCGACTGTTAGTGGTGCTGATGCTCTTGCAAATATAAGGTCTAAGGTGTACCTCTCACCAAAGCTGTGGTACCTTAGAGTTAATGTGATTGAGGCTCAGGACTTGATTCCCGGTGACAGAAGTAGGTTTCCAGAAGTTTACGTGAAGGCCATCCTTGGAAATCAGGCATTGAGAACCAGAGTTTCCATGAGCAAGACTATCAATCCGATGTGGAATGAGGATCTGATGTTCGTAGCAGCAGAACCATTTGAGGAGCCATTGATTTTGAGTGTGGAAGACAGAGTTGCACCAAACAAGGATGAAGTTCTCGGAAGGTGTGCTATTCCTTTGCAGTATATTGATAGGAGATTGGATCACAGACCTATTAACAGTAAGTGGTATAATCTTGAAAAGCATATAATGGTTGAGGGAGAAAAGAAGAAGGAAATCAAGTTTGCAAGCAGGCTTCACATGAGGCTATATTTGGAAGGAGGTTATCATGTTCTGGATGAGTCAACCCATTACAGTAGTGATCTTAGACCAACTGCAAAACAGCTGTGGAAGTCCAGCATTGGTGTCCTAGAATTGGGTATTCTGAATGCTCACGGCCTCTCGCCGATGAAAACAAAAGATGGGCGGGCAACAACAGATGCCTATTGTGTTGCCAAATATGGGCAAAAGTGGGTCCGAACAAGGACAATTATAGATAGTTTCGCTCCCAAGTGGAACGAGCAATACACTTGGGAAGTATTTGATCCATGCACTGTCATAACTATTGGTGTATTTGATAATTGTCATCTGCATGGAGGAGATAAATCCGGAGGGGCAAGAGACTCGAGGATTGGGAAGGTCAGGATCCGGCTTTCAACTCTTGAAACAGATCGTGTTTACACACATTCTTATCCACTACTGGTCTTGCATCCTACCGGGGTGAAGAAGATGGGTGAAATTCACTTGGCTGTAAGATTTACTTGCTCATCATTAAT